CCGTATTTTTTGTTTACAAGTAGATTGGGCTATAACTGGGCGGGACCTTTTAAGTGTGTGTGTGGTGTGTGCGTGTGTGTGTGTGTGTGTAGGGGGGGGGGGGGGGGGGGGTGTTGCTTTTAAGCGGAAGTTTACGGTATTCAGTTAAAAGCTGGTTTCTGTATTGCACTCAAGCCGTGCTCGTTCCCAGGGTTCTCTCGGAACGAGCCTGGACTCAAGCCTGTTATTTAGATGGAGAAAAAGTATTATTATTTGACCCAAATGCGCATATTCTTTTCTGTATTTTTTTCAGGCTACTGGTCTCATCCTGGCCTTTTTAGGTTTTATCTGTGCAATTGTGTCTGTGCCTTTTGATCATTTCAAGTTTGCTCACGGTGGACTTGGCCTTGTGATAATGATTATCGGTTTGGGACAGCCTCTCAACGCTTTCTTGTAAGTTAGACCAGAATTGTCACTTTTTATTTAATAATTATTTCAAGCAAGCGGTTAAATATTAAAACGTATTTATAGGGTGGATTGTTTTCTAAGGTTAGGGAAAGTTCATTTAATATGACAAGGGGGGGGGGATGAAGATATTGAAACTCGAAGCTTGAAATTTTAGCAGCCCACCTCGCTAGCGGTTCAATTTTTTAGGAGCCCCCTCCTTGGTAGTCGAAAAAATTTCAGAGCCCCCGCCTCCTCCTTCAATTCCTTTGCTCCCCTGAAAAAAGATCGCTAGACTGTATTAAATATATTTACCGTTATTGTCTTCAATGGTTTATACTATGACAAACTTGAGATACAGTTGTGATACAATTTTCTAAAGCATTTTTGGGATGAACAAGAGTGTAATAATTACTGAGACTACATTTGTTATATCTGTAAACCACGTGATATAGCTGAGTTGCACAGGTCATTAAATTGTTGAGTTGAAAACCATCCGATCTGTATGATGATGTCATTTGTTGATTTTGAAGTATACAAATTTTCGGAGCCCCCCCTTCGGGTGTCTAAAAATTTTCGGAGCCCCCCCTCAATATCTTCATCCCCCCCCTTGTCATATTAAATGAACTTTCCCTTAAGACTAAATCTTGTATTTCCAAAGATTTTCGAGAATGAATTTCAAAAGTCGCCTTTTCATTTAATATTCCGTTAGATGATTTACTATGATTTAAATTGTTTCGTCTTTAATTCCCCCCTGGAATAATTCAACACGCGAAACAGAAGTAGAGCCTTCCAGTGTGTAAACCAAGACCTAAAATTTCTATTATTTTGGTGATCAGGTCTTAAAATAATGAAAAAACAATCTGTGATCATGTTAAAGTGCTTGGTGTTTTTTGTTCGTTTCCAAAACACTGATTTTATGGAAGCCAATGCAAAAGTTAAAGTATAGAGCGAAAATGATGTGAACAACTTCCTCTACCAGCTAGCTGACCGATTTTTTCGCAGTCAAACCCGTCTTTCAAAGATTAATTGCCCCACTATTTGAATTGTCCGATGTTAACGAAACCGTCGAATGGAACCAACCAGGCCTCAGAGCATAGTCTTATTGATCCAGATAAGGTTAATTATAATTATGTTTAATTTTCCAACTGTTCTTTATTGCAGTCGCCCACACAAGCACCCCGATGGCACAAAGTCTACAGGTCGCGTTATCTGGGAACTTTTCCACAAGAATATTGGTCGCCTTGGTCTTATCCTGGCTCTGATCAACATCAGCCTTGGCCTTTTACTTGCTGTGACTCCTGTGGGAGTCTGGGCCACTTGGTTTGCTCTGTTAGGGCTCTTTATTATTTTGTACGTTGTGATGGAAATTCGTCTGTTTATGAACAAGGGCAAATCTAACACGGTGACTCTTCCGATGAAGTGAGGCTTTGAAGGAGAAGCCAAACAGGACTGTTAGAGTGGATTGACACTGTCGCTTAAGTTTTAGGTGCGTACTCGCGTAAAAATTAATGCGCATAAATAAAATAGGGGCAATGTATAAAAGGCGACGAGTGAACGAAAGTTGAGCGAGGATAAACTTTTACGTTTTACGCGCGACTTTCCATACATACCCTCTATTGTATTTACGCACGTAAATTTTACGTGAGAAATCTAGAGGTAATAACATTTCTTTTAATTTCGGAATGCAATCACTCGAACGGTTCAATCAACCGTGAATTAAAGTAACCAGTCCAGACTAAGGTATACATGTATTTATGAAGTAGTTCATAATGTACATATTTTACTAAAAAAAATTCTTTTTTAAAACTAACAACAAGTTATAATAAGTAAAACGTTGACAGAAGCTGTTACAAAGTTTTTTGAAGGAAGAGGCAGTAGAGCCTAACCCATGTATATTTAGTTTTGTTAAAACATTTCCAAACTGTTGGGGATATTATTCTCTTAATGGGTAATGCAGAGGTGAATATATGGCATTTGTGATTCATCTCCAGCACGATTTTCTGTACTCTGTAATTCGGTATACCTGTCTTTTTTGTGTATTATTTTTAATAAAACTCTACCCCTCATCGAAGTTTAATACTGCGACTGAAACACTGTTACTGCCCAAGACAAGGACTCCGCGGATATAAAGTTAAGAAAATCCGTTCCATCAGCAGTATTTTCAAAGAGTTGACCTTTAAAGAGACTTAAATACATCGGCCAACTCTAGATGCACAGATTCAAGAAAAAAAATGCTCATTCTCTCTTAACAGGTTTTAACTATGTGTAGGGCATTTTAGAGCAGGAGAGAATGGTGTAACTTTGTGTATTATATATAGCAAAATGACTTGAGTTCAGCTTTTTTTTTGGTTTTACAATGACTTTTTTTTGCACGATTTCAAAAGCTGCAGAGCTTTAATATTTAAGTCTTGCTGAAAACAAAAGCTTTCAGTGTCTTTCGATTTGCTATCGGAAAAAGACAATTATTTAAAGCTGGATATCCACTGCAGATATTTTCTAAAACAGTTATTTAGCTCCGTTTCGTTAGTGGTAGTGCTCAGTGAATATCCATCGCCATTTACCATTTCTTTGGATAGAAGTCATTTACATACATACGAACCCGCCATCTGTTTGCCTTGCGACTATACTGTATGTTAAAGGCGACTTAACCGTGAAGTTTTCTGTTAGGAAAGTGTTCTGTGTGCTTCAATACTCTTTAGGTCCATTCAAAGTTCAAAAGACGTACAACCGAGAATAATATAACAACGTGAGTTATTCACTCGTCCTGTACACTTGTAATGTTAATAAAGTAAAGGAGCTTAGGTACTATTACGGCGACGGCTTCATCGCTGTTATTGAATTCCATTTCGTTCAGTTTGCCAACTGGCGAATTTTTCAAGAGTTGAATCAGGTTAAAGGATTGTATCTATTTGAAATTAGGAAGCTTCTCGTCGTAGTCGCTGCACGACTACGACGATGTGCAAATTCGCGTACTGAAAGTTATTGCTTTTGCCATTCTAGGGGCCGTCGCCGTCACAGTTGCTTAATTTTTCTAAGAACTTCCAGTAGCTAGCTGTCAGTACCGCCCGGATAATAAGTGACGATAGGACTGGGGGAAATCCAACTCAGTCTGTTAAAAAATTACCCAAGTCCGATATGTTTAATCGAACTTTATAATGATTACAGACAGAATTGGACGACCCTGCGGGCTGCTACCAACTTTCTGCTGAAATCAGGGCTGCTGGTAGCCAATCATGTTGGAGAATTTTGTAACAATTATGACAATTATGACAGAGATAGACTACTAATTATGATCATAAACAAAACAAAGTCTGACATACTAATTTGTAATAATTTCAACTTTTGTTTTATTAAAGCAAAAGATCTTCTGAGAGTTATCATTGCTCAATAAGCAAAAAGAAAAAAAAACCCATTCAAGAAAAACTGTTCTACTTCAGCTCGCGCGACGGGGCGTCACGGTTTTGTGCAATTACTTTGGTAAAAATCACGAATTTCATCCTATAACACTATCCCATTAATGTTGCATCAAATGTTACATCAAATCAGGGCTCCCTATGTGATATTCGATCAAACGGGAGAATTATTAGATGGCATTCTTTAACCCTCAGATAAAAGTTTCAGTCGTCTTACTTGTCCCCTTAGATTTTCGTCGGCATCCAGAGTTGGAAGAAACCAACTGCAATATTCTCGTGAGTCAATCATCATTTCTTTACAACCGGACATCTCTAACTCATGCAACTGCATTTTTTTTCATCAACAACTACTGAGGAATCAAGCAATTCAGTCAACTAAAATATTGTATTCATCCTAAGACTAATTGATGTATTTATTGCTGACTTTTGTGAGTAGTCAGGCCAAATAAGGAGATAAGAGACTCAAAATTTATAACATAGACCTCAGCTTTGGTTTTGTTTCAGTTGTTTTCTTAATGCTATATGATGGTACCCTCTTTCTTTTAAATTTCGTCTTATCCACGTGGACATGCATGTACGCATATTTTATGAAAAGCTTAACTTAGGAGCTCCAATGTCTGGCAGTGGGTGAGGCACCCAAAGCACTTCTGCGGTCATTGTTTTTAGTGGGCCTTATGGCCTCGTTCCAGGGTCTGACAATAAGGTGTGGAAGCCTCTTTCCACATCATCCTGTGTCGTCCTATTTTTTTCTGCTTCGTCCTTCCAGTCTGCAGGCACATGACAGACTTAAAAAACTTCGTTACAGTATATACACAGCCACCGCATAATGCTCTCCTCTCCTTTGGCATCTGCGCTGAGAAATTTTGCGCTCTTGTTGTTTGATTGCTCTGTTCATTTCCTGTTCTGTGTAGTCGTTAGTGGCAACTGAAAGCAGTTCATTAGGGTCTTCAGCGCAAGTTTGTCCTCCCCTTAACCGTGGCCAGAAATGTGACAAAAGCATCATGGCGACAGCGGGTAGGGGGATACAAGAGGGCCTTGCGAGAGCCGTGGATCAGTGACCAAACCTGGAAGTTCATATCTGAAAGGAATACTCTTCATCAACGTTACAACCCCACAGCGGGCAACAACATACTTAGTTGAAACGCAGTGCTTAAAACAGACCAACGCGACTGGCTTGAGACGGAGGCAGAGGAAGCAGCAGCAGCCTCTATGAGAAGGCAAAGACCAAATCTCTTAAAAACATCACATAACATTGGGGAAACAAAGCATACCAGCTAAAGAATTCCATTAAAAAACCTTTCGTAAGTGGTCTCAACTTGTGTTTGGGCGATCCAACCTCGTTCTTAGGGTCTTTCATCTCCCCACAAAGTCGGCCCAAGAGCTGGGAAGAAATGAGAGCCTGGGAACGAGTTTGCAGGCGATATCCAGAAAATTGGGTTGATGGCAATTGGCTGAATAGACTAGTTTCCATATAATCTTCCTGATCTTCCCAATCGCTTTAATCGCTCCAACAACTTCGAGGCTATCCGGACGATCATATGGTAACATCCTCGGAGACCCAGGGGCAGTCAGCTAGGTCTGGAGAAAAGGCGCGAAGAAAGGAAAGATTGAAAACCTTTGTCGCGCCTCTTCTACCGACCAAGCAACTGACTGCTCTCTGGGTCTCCGCGAGGCTGCGATGTAGCACGATCCGGACAATTGGCGCCACCTCAATCGCCTGGAGATAACTGAAGCCTACCCCTGGGTCTAAGAGGATGGCCACACTCAACTCAAACAGCCCAACTGAGTTTCCCTGGGTCTCCGTGGATGGGATGTTGCACGATCCGGACAACTGGCGCCACCACAATCGCCTAAAGCCTATTCATAGGCTGGATTCTAACTAATCGTCCAGATCGCCCCAGTCACCTCTCAAAACGCAAAACGTCGAGGCGATTTGAACGAGTTTGTGAAACTAGGCAAGAGCTGTCAATTTTTGTTTTGATAAAACAAGTAAGAAGGAGATTACTTAAGAATTTCTTGAAGACAATAGCAACAACAACGACAACATTTATATTTCGCAGTACCATTTACATCTATCAAGAGAGAATGATCTCATCTATATTCTATATATAGATGGTGTTGCATAAAAAAAGAAAAAAAAGAAAATATGTATCTATATATATGGTAAAATAAGATAGATCATAAAGAAATGATCGTAATGAAAAGCGGAAAATCATCAGGAACAATAATTTATGAACTCGTCTATTGTTCGGTTTGCCGAGGAAAGGTCTGTAGAAAATGTATTCTAAATCCGGGTAGAATTAGATGGAAAAGGCAATTGTCTTAGCTGTCAGGGTCAATCCCTATAATTAACAATGAATTACGAACAGCCGTTTGCTCTTTTCAGAAAAATAAATAAGTGCCGCTACCGGGTACGGTTGGTACTTGCAGGGCGTTGTTGGAATAGCTGTTTTTTCGCTGAGCTTACCTTTGGGAGACAGGAAAACTCGATTTCATGTAGGAGTTGTCGAATGAGAGACGTTTGCACGTTTCGTCATAGAAAGATGAAAATTTTGAATTTTTTTTAGTAATATTTCCTGAAGCCTTTTGTGTGTGAGTGTGTGTGTTATGTGTTTGTTTTAGTTAACGGTATGTTTTCTAATCGACAAAGAAAAACTGTGAACAAAGGAAATGCACTTGCACGGAATGGAAAATTTTAATTTTTCGTTGCTTTGTACCGACGGGAGATATTTTACGAAACCAAACTTATGCTCATCTAGAAGGGAGAATATTATGCATGCTACAGTTACTCTTCTAAACGCTGGCAAGTTCAACAGGTGTTAAAATTAATTAAACAAAAGAAGAAAAAGAAAAACAAACAAAAACAAAAAAACAAAAAATAGTGAATATTTGAATAAAGATTTTTTAAAACTGTGAGAAATCACTCACTATAATTTAGGCTGAAATTGTTCGACATCTTAGCCTGTTTATCAGCCAGAGCTTGCTAACGTCCATTTTGTTAATGCAGGCGCTTTCCAAAAGTCAGAACTGGCCTGCTGGATCATTGCCTGACCAAACATTTTGGCAATAAAATAGGCTTTTTCCAAGAGGTTTCGCTGCACAACCATCTCCTTTGTGCATAATATTTAGGATTTGACTTATCTGAATTGTTAGTTTCGCTTAAACATTAAATTCTCATTACGATGGGATTGGGCTGGCCAGTCAGTTCTGACAAATGGAAAGCGCCTTGAAACTTTGTCAGACTTCGCAATTTCAATTAATAACGTTGTCCGTGTTAACGATTACATAATATGTAAAGGATATCTGATTCCTAGAATCATGAGAAGGTGTGCTTGTCAGCTCGAGAACGCTTTATTCATTGCTTACGTCCATAAACAACAAACTCTCTGAATTTGAATACATGTAAGTAATCAGATCAGAGGTTATTTTTAAGCCAGGATTTTTCTAGAGGTACGCGCAATCAGTTCCACATCCTCCTTTCCCCCATTACTTCAAAATCATAGATTTTGGGGGGAGGGGCTGCCTTGATTAAAAGCGTAGGTTGCGTTGTAGTATAGTATAAAGCGTTGTTGTTTTATTGGGTTCAACTTAAAAGCTCATCAACCGCTTATTTATCATTTTAAAATTAAGCTTATTCAAAAAACAAGCTAGTAGTATCTCCGACTTTTGTCTACAAATGACTGATTTTTTTACCGCACAAAAGCGCCATACAGGCCGAGGTGAAAACAACGCGTTCACCCTTTATACCATAGAGCTTGCTATCTGTGCGCTATTTACCCTTCATTTCTGTAAATATATCACTGCTCACGATTCGGTCAACCATGAGATGCCTCGCTTCTCCGGAAACCGACATTCGGGTGTAGAAAAAGTATTCAGCTGTTTTAGAAAAAAAATACAGTTTTAAACTATAAAGCAACAAGCAGAGTTAAATGAATTAAAGGAAACTGTGCTTTTTAAAATCACTATCTTTTTCATTTGTTTGATTTTTTTCATAACTCACATTTTTATTATATTGATTTCACTTTTTACCCTCGACGTGCGTACCGTGAGCACAGGTTATCAAACCAAGGTTACATTAAGCATGTTAATTACTTTGAACTCCAAAAATAGATAGACTTCCGTTCTCTTTTCTCCGGTTCATTTCCCATAGTTGTCGTTTTACGTAGAAGGCGGAAGGATGTGATATTATCGTGTTTTTATTTTGTTCATTAGCTCAGCATCAAACTGTCGAAACGCAATGTTAAGCTTATTTTGGTGCTGATGAAGCCTCCGTCGATTGAAGAAATACAAGTTATTATCATTTTCTCGACAATTTAAAAAAAAATAGAACGTTTTGATATGGAAAATGTGTTACATTTTTTGTCTCGATACGCATCTAAATAGGAGTCGAATCAGTCTCTACATTTAAAGACATACGTTAGTTGCATGCACGTTGAAAATAGAAATGTTTAGTGGAATAACAGCTTGTTTATATATTATTCTGCTTTAACTGAACAGTAACTTTGACACGGACGTTTATAAATGTCAGAGAGGTAAAATGGGAATAAGTGCAATAACGGCGATAGGATAACTCTAGACTCATTTTACGTTTTTACTAATTACTTTTTTAAATTCTTGATTCAATAAGTTTATTTATTTATTAAATTCTGACAAAGAACTGCTGCTCAACGGAATAATACAATAAAAAACCATCAGGCCAGATTGTTAACTGTATTGTTAACTTAATACGGGATTTGATTGAAAGGGTCCATTCGTTCTCCTGCCATATATATATATATATATTTCCGTTGATCTAAAAACAACTTTCTAATAAAACTGATCATTAGTAAGGCAATGTAACCCTGCCTGAGGGCGGATAAAGTAATCGATGGTAGTTCCACATGTTTCGCCAGAACTTCCCTTGCTGTTACTTTCTCCCTGAGAGGATACACTATAAAGTCTATAAATCGGAAAGATCTGTTTCAGCCCTTAAAATGGGGCCGTTTCGGTGTGGCTCCCTTAACCAGGGCCAATACAGTCCAATTACTTATAGCCCAAGTCTGTAAATTCAAAATGGGTGAAGTGATAAGAAAGGGGCAATAACGGTATTTTCGGACCGCCGCCATGTTGAATTAATGTCAAGGGTAAAATAGAAAGGTTTCAAATCGCCTGAGTTAACATAACCTACGCAACGGTTCTGGAAAGATATTAAGCTGAGTAAGATAATTTACACGGTAATTAGCTAACTTTGTTAAATCTAAACATTTAAGGTGGCTCGACTGGATTTTTTAGATGCGTGCGAAGTTTGATCATTTACCACGTCAGCACTAACAAAGACATCGGAATAAAGATAACACAGCTGTATTGGATAAATATGAAAATTTGTTATGATTCATGTTTCATGACATCGGCGTTACCATGGTAACGTTTTCTACTTGCCTTTGCATTTCAGGATTTTTGTTCGGAAATCGCTTAAGGGAGCTTGTATGTATACGTACCTACCTTTGCTGCCTCGAGTATGGCAAAGTTTGAACATTTTCTATGACAGCGTTTTGAAAATATTTTAGAACGAAGTCATAAAAACTGTGAATAACCATGCAATCGACATAATTGGCTAATATTAATACCTAAAGAAAATGATGAGGTCTTGAAAAGCAGTTTTATCTTATAGTGGTCTGATTCCATTTGAAATTGTGTAAGAAAAAAGAGGGAGATTGCTTTGGCCGACTTAAGCTACGAGAAAGAAGAATTTGATTAGCCCACGTTAAGTTGCTTTTGTTACCATTTTTGTACGCAATTCGGTCCACGCCTACAAATTTCACTTTAGTTTAGAAACGGCTTGACAAATTTTCAAAAAACTTGAAAATCCCGAGATTAATCATCAATTTATTTTGACTTCAAGTTTCAAGGACATCGAAAACAAGGAAGGCAATAAAATGGTACTTCCAATTTCACAAATTTCCCCCAAGGGTGATTTTGTGTTTGCAAGAGGGTGTCTCATTTTTCACTGGCATTGTTTTCAAGTTTCAAATACACGTGCACAACTTTATCAGAAAAATAATTTGCATTCTCAAGGGCCCTTATATGCTAAATCCACACGCAACGATGACTGTTCAATGGGCCACATTATTTAATATTTTTTCAAGTAGATAAGCCATTAAAGCATAAAAACATTAACGTAATTTCCACATTTTCCCTAAGTTTATCGTTTTTAGTGATAATACTACAAAAACGCCTTTAGCATAAGCGTTAAAGTAAGACATTTGACAAGCCTCGTTTCCATGCTGTGTAGTAAACAAGGATCTCGAAAAGGTTTGCGTTCCGCTCAAATAATCCCGTTTTCAAGCAACTTCCCCTTCTGGGACCTTTTGGAGCTTTTGATATGTCATTAAGGATATAGCTACAGTTGGAATATCTTCTGTTGCAATTAGTTTTAGGTTAACCTACTTTTTTCCACAAAATGACTGGACTACTAGGGCTTTTCTGAATCCAAGGGCTGAAATTGAGTCCCGTCGTGGGCTGGAATAGGCTTTTGATGGGGCTGTTTTGCCTTGCGCTCAAATGATTCTAGGAGAAACCGAATCAGACATTGGCCTGCAGTGCTGAATTGGCACTTTGGGGCTGAAACATATCTTTTTTAATTTTCAGGGTAGTTGCAAAACTATGAGAAATTGGCGATAACAAAATCAACAATCAAAATCGTTAATATGTCGTTTGGACATTCATGACCAGGAAGACAACGCACATTAAGTAAGATAAAAACGTCTTCTGATCTGACCTAAACGGCATAAGGACACCGAATTTTTGCTTTTTTTTCGTCGAAGTAAAAGGGCGATTGTGAATGATAAAAAGATTTTTAAAAATTGTCTTAGTACCTGAGGCAAGCAAGCCTTAATGCAAGGCTGGCGTTCATTTACTTCCCTTCTGCATGCTGGTAGACTTATACTTAAGCCATGTCTACCTTATTCCGGACTGCTCTTGCGCCGCAGGGCACGAAAACCATAACCGACAAAGATTTTGTTCACATACGAACGGTGATTTCGAAGCGGTTTTTGTGACGCAGCGAAGCTGCGCCGCGCCAATCTTGAAAGTGGATCATCACATATAAAATAGGTTTCTGTACCATTCTTCGAAGCAGTGTGAACAGGTGTTTATTCCAGGCCTCATTATTATTCATGTCGACATGATAAGCTGGACCATTTTTTGTTCTAAACAAAATTTAGGAGATGAAGCAGGGATTGCACAGTGGTGAGAACACTGGCCTCTCACCTCTGTGATTACCTGACGTCGACGTTGTGAGGCTATTTAGAGAACTGAGTTTGCCAGAAAAAAGCGTAAAGCTGCACGGAACAACCCCGAAAGGTTTTGTTGGTAGTTTTAAATTCCTCAACTCAGCGTCTGTCAGAAATTTCGAGATTGAGAAATCCGGATTCTCCCTCCCCCAATACGCGTATTCCTGTTGGAATTTTTTATTGTTTCTGAGCTCAGAAGAAAAAACTATAACAAAATTCCAGCGAGCAAATGCAGTCTACCATGAAATAATGCGTTTTTAGGTAATTTTGTACAGCGAGTTCACTACGCCGTAATTATAGTAGTTAGTCAATCATCGTCATTTCCAATTCCCGTAAAAGCTTCGCTTTTCATATCGTTGCCCATCTAAGATCCCGTTTCCGGAGATATTGTGAAAAGAGAGATGCTTTATCTCCTATTTCGGCTTCCGCCCACGCGTAGACGGCGTTTTGGGGCACCTAAAACGCGCAGTTTTCATAACAAACAGTCCGCAGAGTGGAGACTTTGAAAACGTCGGCTTCCCGTTTAAGTGTGGACTGAGGAAAACGGATGTTCTCGAATACGATAATGTTTACACCATACTACTAGTATTACGCATGCTCCTTAAGGAATGATCCTTACGGGAGTTTGCATGGAAAACCACTTAAACGTGACTGGGTGGCTCGAGCTGTTTTCCCCATACAAATCCTCCTTATTTTTGGCAGCCATAGCAATCATCTCTTTTGAGATTAAACCTGAAAACGCATTTCTTGTGCTCTTGCTATTTCAGCTAAAATTATTTTTCCAAACGCATTATTCTCGTGTTCTGAGAAAGTTTATCACATGACCATCAACTGTTGCAAAAGGCCTATTCATTCAATTTTGTTGCCGCGTAAATTCTCCTAATGAACTTCCGTCATCTCTTTTCGTGAGCCAACCAAAGCTCTTAATTAAATTCGAACAGCGCCAAGGATTAGTGAAAAACAAAAAAATAAACAGCAGCACAACCCACATCACAGCACAAAGATCATTTAGTGAAAACCGCAATTATAGACGTTGTGTATTTTTAAAGAAAACATTGGTAGACGATCCTCTCATTTTGGAACCATGATCGTGTTCGCGGTGATCTATGGCGTAAACGTTTTGCTGGGTTTCTTTGGTAACCTCTTGGTCATACTGGTGGTATCTATTTATCGAAGATTTTACCACATGAGATACTTTTTGTTGGCCAGTTTGGCACTTTCTGATTTCCTCTTCACGAATTTGATAACCGCTTTTCGTATGTTGGCCTATGGTATTGGTAAGTGGATTTTTGGTACAGCTTGGTGTTATGGTACAGCGTACTTCGCCAGATTTCTACACCTCAGCACAGTACTTCATCTGTGCGCTGTTTCGTACGAGCGATACGAAGCCATCTTTAAAAATCCTCTGACCTATGACGGCTGCATCACAAAGAAAAGAGCCATAGTAAGCATAACGCTGATGTGGATCATCCCCGCTGGTATCTCTCTTGGTCCCTTTCTCGGGTGGAGTGACTATGTGTACAACCCAGCAATAATGGTATGTGAGCAGAAATGGGACATGGTAACGACATTGCCGCTCCTAGCAACAACATTTCTTGTACCGCTTGGAATAATTGTCTTCCTAAACTACAGAGTCCTCAAAGTTGTCAGTAGACTTCAGAGTAGTTTGAAAATAATTCCAGTCACTGTCGAAGAACAACCAGGTACAAGGCATCCTGCAGAGCAAAATGGTCAAAACCAGTCTAAGAAGCAAGGCAAAGTAAAGAGAGAGCGAAACCTGCATTTTTCAGACCATTTAGCGAGAAACGAGGAAGGCGAAACTGCCAAACCACCCCGCAAACATCATGTAATTAAGCAAGGGACTTTGAATAAAGGCAGCGTTTATGCAGAAGGAGGGCAAAATCCCGCTTTCGAGGAAGAAACTGAAGAAATTCAAGAAGTAACGCACCAGCCAGTCGTTGCTCAGAAAAACGAGGGATCACCAGAAAGTCGATGTAGCAGCCCAGTGCAATGGTCCAGAAAATGCAGTAGACGTAAACGAGCGATGAAAGGCACAGAAAGTGTGAAAGAAGGATTTAATTCAACATTGCAATCGACGCATTCGTCATTAAATGACCATCGATCGCCTCAACAAATGGCCAACCAGGAAAAGCAGTCTCAGGAAGATGACGTTGTAGTATGCATAGTAAATCCACATCAAGGGAAGACTAACAAAACCCAAACAATGTTAAGAGGAAGCTCAAAAAGTAACATGTCAAAAGAAAACACTGGCGGCCACAACATCTTTCAAGGAACGGAACGGGAAAGCAAACCAGGGTCTCATCAATCAGATGCAGAAACGATCGTGCGCCAGCCCCAGGATTGCAAAGCGCCCTCAGCTGAAAATCAAAGAAACCGGCATGGCAAAACACAGAAGAGACTTGTTAAGTTGCTTAAAGAGGGAAAGGCTGCCAGAGATGTCATAATCGTTATCGGAATATTCCTTCTTTGTTATCTACCTACGTGGGTATCAGCTTGCTATCGTATGTTCGGAGGAGAACAATCTGTAGAGGTAATACTTTCAGCCCATAGTATTTATGCCACCACCATGTTCTGGAATCCTATTATATACTCTATTCGAAAAAACGATTTTAGACAAGCGGCGACGAGGTTACTGAGGTTATAACAGTTTATGATTTAAAAAAAAAAACATATCAACATCAACTACAACAAAGATAACACAAGGAACATTCGGTTTTCAAAATTCCACAAATGAATAATAACACTTTTTCGGAACTGACTGATGTAAAATACCAGCATCACATATACATATTTCTGCAAGATTTTTTCTTCCAAGTTTAAAGTAATATGAGGAGAACAAATCAGATAGAACTAAGAATTAAAAATGTCAAATTTCTAATCAAATAATCGAGAACGGAAGCTTAAGTTGTAAGATTACAGTGGGTGATCACTGCTTCTACGCATATCACCGTGCATGGCAGTTTGAGGGAAAAAATCATTCTTTTCAAGAACAAATTAAACCTTTTCTTCCTGTTTACTTTTGTGCATAGTTTTGTCACGTATAAGCCGCAAAAATACGATGTTATTGTGTATATATTTCGTTCATTAGCGAAGCAATAAAATGTCGAACGAGGGATTAAGTTGATTTTGATTCTGACAAAACGCTCGCCGAAACCATGCTTATCTTCGGTTGCACAGCACGCAAGCAAAACCGCTTGGCTTCACGGCACAACTTTGACGCATACCAAAATTGTTGGAAAGAAAGCAAAGATGTATTACTGATCACACTTTTCAAGGTCAAAATTGTTTTCTTTTCCTTGTTATATAGAGGACGTTGCATAATTCATTCTGTCCTGCCATAATCATACAACGGCAGTACCGTTTTGTTTATAAAGTACATAATTATTATGCTAAACGTGTAGCAGTTTCTGCTGCTACAAAATGCAAGGCAAAAATTGAAAAGATACGAATAATTGATCTTTTCTGTACAAAAAGCATAAACATTGAATAAGAGCACATAAAAGTGTTCTGCCGTTTCCGGAAAGCCGCTATTTTTTCCTTTTAGTGTGAATGTTATTGTCATTTTAATTTTTTGTTTCCAATTTGCTTAATTATACATCAACCCCATCCCAACTTGCTTCACCATTCCTTTCTTCCCGAGAGACTCTTTAGTTTGTGATAAGAAAATTGGCGTATCCGAATTCTAAAAAGCAGGCTTCAAATAGGCGGCCACACTCTATTTAGCGGTTAGCAATCATAGTCCAGGTCGACAAAATTGTCAGTAAATCAATATAAAAAGACCGTTATCAAAAGGCCACTTGTCTGTTTCACGACGATGGCCGGTTAATAGAGCTCGACGTTTGACAGTATTCACGTTATGAACTGAACAATGAAAAATGACTTCAGAATTTAATTCATGGTGGCTTAAGTACATTTGGGAAAAGGCTTTTTCGTATAAAAATAATTAGGTAAAATATTGTTTACACGCAAGTTTACCTGGCAAGAACCTGGTTTTTAAGAACCTGTTAGGCTAAAATTTGCCAGTTACGCCCCCTCTATACAAGAACCTGTTTAGCCTAAAATTTGAAACAGGTTCTTATTTTGCAAAATCTCTACCAAAATTCTTTGCACTTGGGCAAATAGGATAAGTCAACATTCAGGATCCTCTTTGAAGACATAGCTGTCTTATCACTCCAACTGCAATACTTATGCAGCATGCAGATTTTATATAAGGAATAAGATGAATACCAATAATACTCTTAGCTTCAATGTATTTGTTTCTTCAGAAAATAAAAACCTACATAGCCTACATTTGTGCTAATTACCATTTATGTGAGAACCTGTTAAGGCTACCTTGGTTAAATGCAGGTTCTTCGTAGTCGCGGGTTTTAATGTATTTTAATGTTTTTCTTTTTTTATTTTCCACAAATTAGAAATACATTAATCATTGTCGATTTTACTTCAAAACGATTGAGGGAGCGAAAAAACTGCCCCCAAAAACTCAACATGGCATCATCGATTTGTTGTTTGTTTGTTGAAAACCAAAGGCCATGCCATACTCCCAGTGGGCAGAACATCTGCTTTAGTTTTGCAACTGCACTGATTTTTACACACAAAAAAACGCTAATTGCATGAGGCACTACAAAAGACGTTGGTTCTATGTTCATTAGTTCAAGTTTAACTGATTCAAATTTTTTAATTAACGTTTGTTTAGATTATGTCCGTGTACAACCTGCCTTAGGCTTAAATAGCATACAGCAAATCAAGGCGGAAAGGAATGAAAATTGAGGGTTACGATAACCTTGATTGAACAGAAATAGTCAAGGAGAACATATCTACGAACGTCATAACGTAAACAAGATATTGGGAAAAAACAACAAAATAATTAAACCAAAGATAATATGCAATAAGTGGATAGATTTACAATATTAAATGTATAAAAACTGAAAATTTGATTTTTAGTATATACTTAACCAAAAACAAAAACAAAGAAACCAAAAAATTAAAGAACGAGAAAATATAGAAAAATATAAAAGCAAAAACACAACAACAACAAGAAAATACGCAAAGCAATTCGTTTTGGCACACTTTTTATGTTAAATTCATTACCAAAAATCTATTGTGATAATAAAAAAACTACAATAAATAAAGGATAAATAACCACAATAAATACGACTGATATTACAGAGTTGTTGTGAATTTTAAACCAGTTAAGGGATTGACGCTACTATAGATATTTAGATAATCTAAAAACTTTGAATTGAAATTTACCGAACTTTAAATATCATTTAAATTTCTTTGGTTCTTACATTCACATATTTCCGGCATTAAGCTCTATAACTATGTAATTCATAAATACAGAATGGTCAGATATTATAAATTATAACTTACGCTTCCTAGTCCACCATCATTTCTCAATTATGAGGGTAGGTTGTAAGTGGGATATTTAAAACGAGACACTGTTTCATCAAATACTCAAACACGGATGAAAAATTGGTAAGAAAACAAACAAACACACACACAAAAAAAAACAAAACGGGTCAGCTAATGAGACAGGGAGGCCTACTGAGTCAAGTAGGCTGAATAGACCAAAATTTTGCCTATTTATCAACCGACTATCGGGTTGAAACACTCTTTTGAGAGTTTAATATACCTTTTTAAATGATCAATAATTCTGCTTCTATGATTATAACTATTTGATCCGTTATCTCTACTTCATTCATGGCATTTAATTGATTTCTCTCGTTTCCTCTTAATTAGTAATTAACGACCTTCACAGCGGCCAAAAAACGACGACGGCCCATCTTCTAATAATGACAAGTCCTCTTACTATTAAAGCTGATTTGTGCAGAAATGAGACAGGAATGGTAAGTTAAACAAACCACAAAAACTTTGATATGTTTTCGACCGACTATACTTCACGAAAGAAATTTAAAAAAAAAAAAAAATAGAAAACAAACAAATCGATACGACACACCTACAGGCGAATTCACGTTTACATTTTTTGCGTCATTAGCATAGGCTTCTCAAAATCTGATGAATTTAATAAAACGAAATTTCTGAATATTGAAAGAGCATAACAATTTCAGTTATCTCTGAACATTTGAGCCCCATATACCAAATAGTTTACGAGAAATTCCCTTTGAAAAACCCCAAAATTTACAAAGAATATATGAGCTCATTAACCTTTTGCCACCCAGTAATTTTGCAGTTTTTAATGCTGCTATTTTCTTCGTTACTGATTACAAAGAGCTGAAATCTGCACAAACTGCATAATCTAACCAGCTCTTTTAATTTTTGAACCTAATTTGTATTTACGGCTACATCCTCTATAGGTTAACTCTTATGCTAATGAGCAAAAATGTAAACAATGACATTACGAGGGAAAAACCTAATGCCTAAAATGTAAGAAACAGCGGAGCTTCTCAAATTTCATTGATTTTTAGTTTTAGTTAAAAGACACTTAGTAAACCAAACAAAAAAGCTGTTTGCTTCACAGTTTGTCTATTTAACACTCCCGATATATATTTTTTCATTCTGATTCCCAGTCATTTACCCGTACACAAACACAAACACAGACAATCCTAATCCGGCCGTCCACACTAACAAACACGCCTACATTTTAGTGCATTTTGGTCTCGCGTCCACACTCAAACGATCAAGAACGGAGGATTCTGAAAACAGAGAAATGTGATATTGGACCTTTTCAAAAAGGTTAAGGAAACTTTTGAAATCAGACATCTGTTTCTCAAAAGTGCTGTAGTCATGGCTTCTCATACATGAGAGAAAATGGCCTAATAGATAAAGAGTGAGTCACAAATATTCCAATTTGTTAAATTATGGGATTTGTTGGCAAATTCAAGCCCCCTTGCCAAAAATCACCCTGTTAGTGTAAATTGGTAGGGAGATACAAACACCAGTTTGCTCTGATGGCACCAAACGCATCCTTCTAATATGGCTTGGACCGTAACGTTAACTGGCCTATTTCAGTGAGATTGTTATGGAGTCATCGAAGCATAACGGTGCTTACATCTCCCCACCAATTTGCACCGACAGGTTCATTTTTAGCAAATAGACATCTGTTATCTTTTTCTTTCTGGACATCATTTCATAATTTAGTTTTTGTGACATCATTTCGTTTCTCTACAACCGGGCTTATTCAATGCATAACAGCTCGCAATACAGTCGTCAAAGCATTCGCAGAACTATTGCTGGTTTGCACGTGACGTCACGGCGGCCATGTTGGTGGTCAAGAACAAAAGCATTTCTCTCCTCTGGGAACGAAACTCTATTTTCATGTAAATTCTTCGAGGAAATATTCTTTTGTTTTGACCCCCAACATGGCCGCCTTGTCACGTGGTTGCAAACCAAGAATAGTGTATGCTGCCGTGACAATCACTTCAACACAAAGACACACATCACTTTTAATCGGGTCACGCAGAAGAAAGCTTGAAGTTCACCACTTTGAGGTTTTAATCCTGATGAAGATCTTCTACCCTGGAATACTGAGGACTCTGCTTATGATGCATACGTTTTCTAATCACTTCATACGTGTTATCTTTGTTATCTTTTGTCAGCATTTCTTTCAGATCTGATAAAAAATACAAACAAAAATAGACTCGAATGCTTTAAGTGGGCATTTTTAAACTACTTTTTAAGCCAGCAAAGAACGAAAAGGTTTAAAGCGAAGCTCTAAACTTTCAGTAAGAATGGTTTACGAAGTTTGGAAACAGCCAAATTAAGTGAACTGATACCAGCTTCAACTATTAAGCTAAAATTTTGCAGTGGATCATATTCCCAAAACAGAGTGTTATAAATGGGGAGGAGTGCTGTGGAATTCACTACCGACCGAAATAAAGGCATCCGAACGTAAAGCTATTTTTAAAAGAAAACTCGCCAGAAAACTTATTGATTTGTAAAGTATTTACAGTATTCACCTCTGTTTCAATACGGCTTTCATGTAAAGACGTTGTTTACCTTATTCAAATAAAAGTAAATAAGTCACTCAATCAAAAGCCCCCACAAAAAAAAAAAAACAACAACAACAACAACAACAACAACAAGTAAGGCAATATTTTAGTTTAAGTTCAAAGGACAAGAAGATTTGGGAGTATATGAAAACCACGGCATATAAACCTAACCGATTTACCAACCTTAATGATTTCCGTCTTTCTTTCTCAAACTGTGTCTCAGGAGCCTCGCATTCATAAGACATCAACGCTAAATCTACGATAAATAGCCACAAAACACGCAAAAGTTTCATGTATGTCAAATCATGGAAAAAGTGGAAAAAGTAAATGTTGTTTATAAATGAAGGAGCACGTTGTAAATCATCATGGAAGAAGAATTATTGTCCCTACCAAAGAGGCCGAATACCGTAAATCCATTACAAAGTCCCCCACCCCCCTTCTCTAATAAGCCCCCTTTTCTGGGGAAGAAAGTCCATAAGCCCCCCTCCCCTCCCCAAATTATTCTTCACTAGTAAAATGATAAACTTCGTTAATCAATCGCGATTGTAAAACTTCGTGTGGACTGATCCGGGATCGTTTATTCACCAGCTGGAAGTTTGATTTGTATTTGATCCTCGCCTGCATGACCTCCAACTTCTTGTACCTGAGCTTTTCCACTTTGTATTCTAGTTCTTTAAGGAGAACTGATACCATCGTATTTGCTACATTAAATCAGCCCACCTTCCCCTCAATTATGTTTGAAATAAATAACCCCCTGGGGGACTTGATAGAGGATTTACGGTACAAAAAAAATCGCGGAAAATACTTAATACATAAAACAGATGACTAAATAAATTACTGTCTCAATAACATATAAACAATGAAATTATCCGATCAGTAATAATAATAATAATAATAATAATAATAATAATAATAATAATAATAATATACTACTAATAATAAATGAATATATAAATAAATAAATAAGTGAATAAAAAAACAAAGCTCTACCCCAAAACGTCAAAAACAAAACCTCAACGATTAAAGTCAATAACTGACTAGTTAGGAAATAAAAAAATAGGTAACATTAATAGTGTAAATCATTGTATTCAGAGAATGGTATTCGAAATTCGAACGCGTGCTAAATGGATTTGTTTTCTTCTTTACTTATTAGAAGTTAAGAGAGCGTCCTCACTTTTATCTGACAACACTGGTACAGTCATGAGATAATTCAGAACTGTTCTGTTGTGCTCATATTTACACTGGAAAATACAGAAAAAATATAGACAAAATCAAGTATTAGTACTAAATTACTCGTTCATTTTCAAGAGCATTAACAACCTATACTGAGACAGATTATTACAGACAAAATAACCATTCCTGGAACGCTCTAGAGGATTACTGAAGATTAGTAATAGAAGGTTAAGCATCAGATTTTAACGCACAAGGTAGAGAAACTCATACAGTCGAACTCAGTCAATATGGCCACTGAGGGAAATTTCACTTTCATAAATTTCTAATCGTACAGGTATTTCTTCTTGGGCTATATAACAAATCAGTTATTGACTGGTTACACGGGACACAAGTTGATTATATTTTTTACGAATCTCAATTTCGAGAAACAACATAAAGGGCTAGTTATTTGAACGTAGTTTAGCCAGTGTTTATAACCGCGTTCTAAGCTATTTTCACATTGCTCAATGATTTTATCTCAACCCCATTTACTGTGAACAGTTTCAAGATAGCACATGGCGTAGACTAGAAAAGCATTGATTTTCTAAAAACAACCCACTAAGGAAAAGATCTGGAGGTCCAAAGGTTGGCTAAACCACGGCCTAAGTGAGACTTTGTTTAAATAACTGAACCAAACTGCTTCCCTCCTCTACTAACTATGGTACTAGTGGTTACGTGAAATCAAGTGATACAATGCCTTGAGAGCAGGCGCCTCTCACCAATGTAGCTTAGCCCGGGAATTTACACCGACGTTTATACATGGGTTAAATTTCTTCAGTGTTATTTCTCTTTTTTGTCCCAATAGTTACTCTCCTCTTGTCCCCTGTCCCTAAAATTCCAATTCGATCTGGAAAGCAGGCGCAAAAAATGCGCGATAAGGTTTGAAAAGATTTCAGTCAGACGTTTCGCACGTAAAAACGTATATAATATAAAATTGTTATCACTTTGTCGGGCATTGTGGCGCATTTAGCCCGCTGAAATAAACCAATGAAATTAGAGGACCAAACAGTCATACGATATAAGCAGCCAATCAAAATTGAGAAGCCACTGGAGTGTTCGCGCCGCATCTTTTATAATAGCTGTATACAAATTGAAGAAGACAAAAGAAACGATGGTTACCGCGACTTCTTTCCAAGCCACAAAGTCTGTAATCAGCTTGGAGAGCTGCCAAAATTTCTGCAAGAGATATTACAGAAGGTAATTTAGGGTAATTAAAACTACAAAAAGAAAGATAATAATAAGAAAAAAATTTGCAAAAAAAAAAACCAAAACAAAACAAAAAACATATAAAAGCAAAAAAATCGTCACAAACCTAACTAACCTGCAAAAAATTTGATTGGCACAAAATTAAAATTGACCAAACGAGAAATCCCCAGACCATAAACTGACAAGGGAGAAAAGGACAAGCTTTCGGTGCGAGGACTTCTGGGATCGTTTGACTGGACAACCGTTAGTTATGATCAGCCAGTAGTTGTCTTTGAATACCATCCATCAATCAAAACTAACACATGTCCCCAAAAACAATCCCAGAAATCTCTGCTCTGAAACCTCGTACCCATTCTTGATATGGTTTCTCGAGTGGGGAATGCCAAATGGGTTTAGAAAAGCCTGACCCTAGTTGCTATGAGCATAGTTAGCGGTAACTTGCCAAGGGAGATATAAGTTTTCATGACAACTAACTTTAAATTTGTGACAATCGTCATTCGAACACCTCGTCACGGACAGCTTAGCTTTGATTGACGTACCACAAAGTAACCTAACTTAGGTCAAAGGCGGCCTAAGCTCCCGTTACGAGGAAAGAGGGTAAAATAATTTACATGCCATAGATGACGCGTGAGGAAGTTACGGAGGTTACGCAATGAAGCCTAAAAATCAAGTTAAACGACGAATAGACACCAAAACAAAGGTAAGATTTAACGTTATTTAGCGTTCGCAGATCAAAGTATTGTATTTCCTATACAAAGTCTCTTCGGCACGTCCAGCACAAAGGTACGCGTAACCTATGACATGTAAATTTTGTTACACCCTTTCCTCCTAACGTGAGTTTGGGCCGCTTGCGTCAACGTCCTGTGAAAATTTCAATGCAACAGTCGCGTAATACTTTTAACCGCTATAGGGTAATATACCAACCCCAATGCGACATACATCACAGGTTTGCTCCCTAAAACTTAATGTTACTCATACCTCAAAGTTAATTTGTCCATTCGGAAGTCTACAAAGGCAACGCATAGAAAAAGAGTGTAAAAATTAAGTAAAGATATTATTTATAAGTCGAATGAGAAATATATATTATATATAGATTAAAATAATAATAAAAAAGGTTCTAAATGGAAAGGTGAATCTAAAAAAAAGGAAACCAAATGACCTGTTAGAGTGTCCTTCGTTAAGAAAATAAACATCTTTGACAAAGAGGCTGAAGAAAGGAATGGCGAATTCAAACTGAAAACAAACAAACAAAAGCCAAAACAGTGCACTAATAAACTAAAACAGTCTATTCCTAACCTTAATATGACTTCTTGAACAAACACTATCGCTGTCAAAAAGTAGGCTAAAAAATTACCTACCCTTTGTCCTACAGTCTCATTGGCAATTTTAAACATTGCTCTGTAGCAAGCAAAGTTGGATGTGGGATTTAACTCTCGCTCCAGTCTGTCAAACTTTCGACACTTCACTCGAGACCACTAGAAACGTAAAAAATATCCAGTTATTTATTAAGTGGTTTTTACCTTCAATGTTACTGGTCTTAAATCTAGTTTGGGAAAGGGCTAGGATCACCCATTTGAGATATAGCAATTATGAAAGAGAGTTAATTATAACACGTCCTTGATTTTTTTCCCGGAAATTTAGCGGATCTGTGTGATAATGTGGTAGTCAGTACAGTGGTAAGAAAAACCCGAATTCGATTTTAGGTTACGAAACGTTTTCAATAAGATTTCAAAAAAATTTCCCAATTTTCTTTTAAATGGCCACAACTTTTTACGAAATGGGAATTTGCTGGATCATCTCGGATCAGATTTAAATGAGTTCAAACTCTGGGTTTCGGTTCTAACATCACTGAACATCTGTGCGATTATTTAACAATAATAAAACCTCACCGTTTTTTTTAACCTTGTTATGGGACTCATGTTCAGACCAGCTGAAAATAAAACAATAGACGTAAGGGTTTTATTTAATTCATTAAAATCTAAATTCTCTAATTACACCAGTTTTTTTGCACTTCATATCTATGCCTTTGCACACTTTTTTGGCATCCTACTGATAAACAGTTACGACATTTAGATATTTCACTCAACCACAATTTGCTGTCTCTCCCCTTTGAAAGAATATATTTGTCGTTCATTACTATTATTATTGTTATCGTTATCATCATCATCATCATCATCATCATCACCACCACCACCACCACCACCATCATCAGTATTACGTAATAAAACAACCTAACAAACTACCGAATCAAACAAACAAACAAAATATGTTCAACATCTTGAGTTAATTCCTGAGTGAGGGTTGCAGAACCGGGCAAATAGGCAGACTGCTGTCCGTAAAATTCATAAACTCACTAAATAAGAAACCCCATTTGATCCATAGACCTGTTTTCTTCGGCTTCCCAAGCTCGTACGCTCGTTACTAACATTAGAAACATGTAACAAACAGAGAAAATTTTGAATTTAAATGAAAAAAGTGGCTTTGGTTACGCACTGTAACGCTTTATGATTGGTTGAAAAATCGCGCGAAAACCACGCGTGACTCCTTCCCGCGCTTCGTGTAGGTGACACGCCCAAAATCCAATATTTTGTTGTCTGAGTTTTTGGAGCATCAGTGAATTCGGCTGTACTTATTAAAAAGATAACAAACCTCCACCCCCCCAATTCTATTCTATTCTATAACAACTAAGTCGTCCTCACCAATAATAGCCATAGCTGAGTTAAAGTTTCCCTTGTCATAGCATTCGGTAGCCACCTCAACATAATACTCGATTATTTTTGCCCGGAGCTTCTTTTTCGGTCCCTTAAAGATAAAAGAGAAAGAATTTGTTGCACCAAATAAAAAATAAAAATGAAAATAAATAACCTTAAACTTAATCTTAGACGTCGCTCACTTTCATCTAAGGCAATGCAGGCGTATATTTTGGGGATGGCGAAAGCTGCGTCTTTATGTTTCTATTGCCATGGCCGCCATTTTTGAATTTATCTCTGAGGGGGATGGGGGAGGGTAGCGATTGTAACCCCATGGGGTAGAGGGTAGGCGTTAAGGTGATGAAAGAGGCGGGGAGAATTGCAGGGAGAAGAAAATCTCTCTTCTCTCTCCCAGCCCCCTTCCTTGCACCTTTGGCTCGCCCCAACTACTAGATTAGAATTCCACATGGTGGTTACATGAGTAGAATCGCGAACCCGAAAACGTTAATGTACTGTCATTCCACAAATTAAGTCATTACTGTGAAGTTTCCGTTTCAATAACATTTAACATATCAAACGACATGCAAAGTGTTACTCACCAAACAAACTTCAGTTGCTACGAGAAAACTGAGTCTGTTGAACCATTCTATATAGGCTTCTAAACTGCTTGTCTTTTTAATATAGCTGAGGGTAGACTGCAAAGAGAATTAAAGAGTGTCATCTCGAAATATAAAAACTCCTTATCTACAGTGTATTGAACATTCATAAATTAGTCTGATGAAGGAAATAAAATTATGTTTCGGGGGCGGACCCAGGAATGTTTTATTTGAGGGCCCCAAGCTTGTGCGTTCCTGATTGGATCAGATTCTTCATTTAACCATTTTCCCCCTTCTGGCCGTTACACATCCATGTTGTAGTAAATTTCAACTACGCATCCTAGAGTGCGACACCTCAGTGGTAGCAGCTTTAGTTTTAAGGCACTGTTAATGTAACTATGGATATCTTACTCTCGTGGACTTACAAGTGCGTAGAGGTGGGGGAGGAGCGTCCGGATCTCCCAAATTCACCATTATCTTTAAGGGAAAGCAGTCTAAACCATGCGCAATCTCATACTTCTCAGCTTGAATTTACGAGGGGTCTTTACGTCACGAATTTTCTTACTCTCAAATCCGCATCATCTCGGGGAATGAAGGTCTGTACGAACTCTTCTGGTCCTATATTGGCCAGTCGTTCCTGACAGAAAGAGAGCGTTATTGATTCAGAAACAAAACAAAATGAAAAAATATGCATTAAGGGAATAATTTAGGGAGAAAAGCTAGAAAAGGTTTAATGTGTTTTTTAAAAACCACATTCAAGTGAGTAACTCGCGAAAAACGGTCAAAAACTAGACACAACGACTACAGATTTCCAGTTTTGTTATGATTTCTCCCTCAAGTCCTTCTGATATTAGAAATGTTTACTGTACGTTAAAACAAGGACGTTTTTCAAAAATAACGAATGATACAAACAGCAGGAAAAACAAGCCTGAGAAAACAGCCACCACTGAGAAACGAACGCTGGAATTCCATACTGATGACGCGTCTTTATCCAGATCTGGGTAGTGCTTCTGATTGGTTGAAGAAAATTTTCCATGCGGCACGACCAATCAGAAGCACTACCAAAATCTGGGTAATGACGCGTTATCAGTATGCAATTCCAGCGCCCGTTTCTCAGAAGTCATTTCCCGGGAAACCGGTGGTGCAGTCGCAAAATGTAAGCTGTTTTTAAAAAAAAAAAAAAAAAAATGAAAAACAGACAAAAAAATTGGAACACTGGTTCTCACACAGGATTCAAATGAAATTCAGCATGTTTTGTAATTTGCACTAAACTGTGCGATCAACTTAAGTCCGTAAAGCAGCTTTTATAAAGAAAAGAATTTTAAACCGTGTTTAACTAAACCGCCTTTAACCATGTTTAAGCTTTGGTGTGAATAGGGCTTAAACAAATGGTGTGCCAAAATGGCAGCAAATTTGAACGTTTCAAAAAATTCTAAAAAAATAACGTTGTGTTCACGTCGCAGTACTTTTTCGCAGAGGTTCTTGCAGTACCGTGTACCTTCAAACAAAAAGTTCTAAAAACTTTTTCGTTATGAGCATTTTAAAAGAAATTTAGCATAACTTTTTTTTATTACCATCTCAATGTGACATAGTTGCTGCGCTAAGATGATTGGGTTTGGGCAAACCTCCAGTCCACACTGTTAAAGAACAAACAGTTATATTTAGTATTATAATTTAAAAGTATTATGAAACGTGAAACTTGTTAAATTGCTCAAGAATTCAAAGTTCAAGGAATAAATGAAGGATTCTGAGGAACAAGAAAGTCGCAAAAGTTTTCCTAGAGCAATACACAACTGCTGCAATCACATGGAAAATGCTGTATTTCAAACAATCGCTTAAAATGTGCGGACGTCCAAGGAATCAGACTTCCCTCTAAAAATATCTTTAGTAAAATTCTACATGCGGTTGCAGAATTCTCTGAGGTGTATCATAAAGGGATCTTAGCAAAGCACTGGGGTATTATGCCAGCTTTCTCGAGTACGTTGGGAAGCTTGTTTGAAGTTTGTTTTATGACGACAACAAGACCAAACCGGCATAAGATTTTTAAGAAACCGCAATTATTTCTTCAGCTAACATACCTTATATTTTGTAGAACCCGTTAGTTTTCTATCCTCCGCAGCAGCTGTGGCTTTTAGTAAAATTTCGCCATACTTGTCACACAAAGACAACTAAAAGAGGTAAAACTACGTTCAGCTCCATTTACATAGCGAATTTTGCTGCAATTTCAGATCGCGTTTCTAAACTACTAGCGGCGATTTCATGACGATTTGTCGCTCTGAAATTTCTAATATTACAAACCTCCTCGAATTTTCATATGATTTATCGATGTGTGAGGAGAGATATACCAACAGGCATCCCTTGGCCTTTCCTGTTCGACATGCCAAGTGGTATAATTGTATAAAACCGTTTCCACAGAAAAAAATAACCCATAGAATGTGAAACAAAACTATTTTTTTTGGAGCAATCAATCAACTTTCTTCATTTTCATTACTTCTGTGAAACACAAGGTTACTCTTCATTTCTACAGCTTACCTTTTTAAATAAGGACTGTGTCATCTGACCAACCATATTTCTCAACTCCTTGAGATTCAACACAGGAAAAAATTAACAAAGAAAAAAAGAATCCTGTAAGTAAGTAGCGATGACTACTTCACACGTACAAATGAGTGAACAGCGAGTTGATGGTTAGGAAAAGGGCTTTGAGGAAGTCTAGACGCTTTTCTGATAAGCCATGAATTGGTTAAGCCAAGCTAATTCTCATTTCACTTTTTTACTTTTTCCTGAATTTTAAACATATGACAACGTAGATCTGATCTGATCCGCTGTGCTGGTGGGGGTACGTACCATGGTCAGCGATGCACAGTAACTGGTGATGTCTTTAACATGCATCATCATCACCTCATCTCTGAAGTCATTAGGAAACGTTTCAGCCCACTCACTACAACAAACACCAAAAAAACACGGTGGGAGTTACAAAACCTAGCAAGCACATCTACAAGTTGGCTGTACCTTGTGTAAAGGTGAAATTCACTTATTCCCTACAAAGTTTTCTGCAAAACCTGCTACGATAACTATATTTGTATTGTTGTTGTCTGTTTCTGAATCAAATATACGGCTCAAGCAATGGATCGGAGGCTCTAGCACTAGTGGAGGCCCTGAACCCAAACAAGAAAAAAAAACCGAGAACAAGCAAAGCCAAAGTAATTCCTTTTCCTGTACTTGCGTAGACTTTCTAAAACAAGGAAGGCGGAGCGGGGGGCTGGTGGGGAGTGCAAGTCTATTTGAACAAGCGAGAGATTCTTCCGTTTGTTCTTGAGTAACAGTTTGGACATTAAAAACATCGTTCTATTGCTTCCAGTTTGTATACCGATCCAGTAAAAGGTGCGTACGTAACGTTTCATGTTTCTGAGAACCTGGACACTCTGGCATGTGATTTTGGTGTCCGTATGAAACGTTTCCACTGTTCTTCATGCAATGATTAAGTTGTATCGAGCTGGAGCCAAAAATAATTTAGAAACTGTCACGTAGATCTTCACCTTAACAATTGAACCAAGTTGAATGCCAGAACTTTCGCCTACGAAAGAAACCGGTAGAAAAAAAAACAACTCAGTACAAAATTGTGAAATGCAGTAAGCTATCAACAGCTGAATAGCAGTCAGGTACAGTTATATTTTGAAGCAAACCTACCTCATCAACAGTAGCTTTTTTAATTTGTTCTGCGCAAGACTAGAAATAAAACAACGAAGTGCTTAAGTGAAAGTGAATTTCAAACACATTGTTTGCAAAAAAAGCTTCTTTCAATATGGCATTCTACTTTCATAACATTACGAAGAAAATAGAAAAAAAGAAGAATTCATATCGTGATATTTTTACGATCGTTGCTGAAAGGGGAGTGAACGGTTTAAAAATGTCAGTGAAATTTTAAGTTTGTGACATTGATATTAATATTAAGCTTATAAATAAGGAGCAAAAACGTGTAACATTATGATATTATTTTCTGTGGAAACGAACCTTTGAAATGCTCGACAGCAGATCACTGGGAAGTATAAAAAGCCTTGAACACAGAAGAAATGCAAACACGTACGTTCGCTGCAAAAAGGATAACAATGACAAAATTGTATAATATATTCAGCTGCAATTAGTTTTATCTTTAGTGCATTTATACCCTCTTTCACGGCTCGCTTCGCTCTGAAGAGTTTGCTCGCAGGCTCACTAACTTACATTGTATAGAGCTTGACAAGTAATATACGGAAACCGGTCGTTTTGTTCCAAAGTTGTTTCGATGACAACTCAAGCAGTGAAACTGTACAACAATTTCACTCACTTTACGTATAGTAGAATATATAATAGTAGTATAGCATATATAGTGGGCGAGAAAACCATTTGGGGTGAAAAGCCCTCGCTCTTTAAGCCACTTACGTGAAACTATTTGCACCTCGACTGAATCAACTTGTATTGAAACGACTTGGTATCGAAACGAACAGTAACCGTGATGCACAGTATATAGCTGTTCTGTACCTGCATATTTGCGCGCGACTTTTCGCCCTACGCAGATACAAATTTGGCGACACTGGAAATCCACCCTAAAGCCGCCAGAAAAATTCCGCCCGGGTTTGCAGGCAAGATCGTAAGAGTCCGCCCGCTTCCGGAACCAGTGAGACTGTAGGATTTGAAGAATCTCGCCCGCTCTTAAACTTAGAAATTAAATTGCTGCCGGACATTGGGCTCTAATATTTGTTATGCATTCATTGCTATAAACAATTATATCTACTGAATTAAAAATACTACTTACATCAGGATAATAATTTGGAAGAGGAACCAATCGTTCAATGAGACCACTCAATGTGCCAGATATAACATGACCATCTTTAAACACTACATTCTAAGATGGATAAAATTTATAAAATAGGTAAGAAAAAAGAAAAAAATTACAAGATCAAGAAGACTGATTAAAGAACAATTCGATTGAGAAATTTCACCAACATAATCACTGAAAATATGACAAGGGCATTGCTGCATCAAAATGTGAAGACCTTGCTAATCGCCAATAATCTGACAGTGTTACCTATCGCAGAGTACAATGTCACCAGTAAAGGGGACTTGCGTTTCTCAAACTCTTCTCGTGGTTATTCCACCTTGCTCGATTTGGCAATGGTATAAGGTTGGAGAATTTTCCTCGAGTGAGCGAAAAAGGGCCACACGCGCCAGAGCTGACGGCCTCGCATTTCGAGGCTTCGCCTTGCGTGCTACTCGTGCCACTCAAACTAAAGGCTATTTTATGGTTGACATTTTAAGATGAACATTACTTCACGTACAATTTGCTCCAAAATACAGATTTGAACGTAATTGCTTCGATGAAATTCAAAGTGGACAGACTGCAAATTATAGTAGTTGCTAAAAAATATATCTACGTGTCGTAACTGTCTTTAAGACGAAATGTTCACCGAGACATGTGTCAGATTTTTTCGTCGCCCCGGACTGTTAAAAGCGTTATTTTGCGAGGTTACGTGTTACTTAACCGTGAGCTCTGCTTTGAAGTTTGGCTTCAGTGAATCTACTACTAAATCTACCACACTAAACGCCTAGATAAAGCTGACCTCACAATTTTTGAGTTGTTTCATTCTAGTAGTAAAAGAATATCAGTCGATATTTTTTAATGGACCATATCGAACCATAATAATTATTGTAATATATGAACTGGCTGCAGTTGCTACTTTATTCTCGTCTCCTAGTAAACTACACCTAATTAGTTCTTAACTTTTATACTAGCTGACTTCAAATTAAATAAACTTTACAGTAAAAATAATAAAAAAGTTGTTTACCCCTGTTAGGTCAGATGGATGAGCAGGATTCCTTGACAGGGTCAAACTTATCTTCTCCTCTGACTACAAACAGAACAACATAGAATGGCGGTGGTGAAACAAGACGGCCGCGATTTTTCTTAGTGCAACAGTCTAACGTCTGATATGCTGCCATATTGTACCCCGCACAATAAACTTATTTAAATTATCTTACTGAATCTGGCTTCTTGGCATTTTTAACTTATTAGTTATTTCAGGAAGTCAGTACCCCTTTTAGTTAATTGATTAATTTAACAACTTGTAAATAACTATAATATTCTGCTTTGGGTACAATAAATTGTTGTTGTTGTTAAATGGTGAGTCTTAACCCTTCAAGTCCCGGCCACAAGTGACCGGCAACCTTGATTTTCTCCTAACAATACCAATGGAAAATCAAAAGAAGAGGTTATGAGAATTTATAAAATAATCCCCTAAGAGGAAATGCTTTCACCTTTCATCATTTTTTTCAGCTTATTCTTTATGGAAATGTATAGAGACCAGTTAAACAGTACTTAAGAAGCAAGCTGTAAAGAGCTACTTCATCTGCTGTTATATTCCCCCCCAAAAAACGCACCTACTTTGAGCATCAATGTATTATTTTGGCACAACCTGAGCCACGCGAAGGTCTAGCTATTTGCAGGGCAAAGGGAGTACCTTTTATACATACTCATGTTACTACGGAATCAAAATTATCACATCTACAATTGTTTAAATATACATAACAATGAAAGTTTTTAAGGTCTTACTTTCACATTGTGGTTTTCCCTGTCATCTTGTACAAGATTTCCAAATATTGTTGGCTACAATAAAAAAAAAGAAAAAAAATATGACAAGAGAGAATTAAGAATAAAAAAGAGAGATAGAAATAAAAGAAAGAATAAAAGGGAGATTACAAAACGAGGAAGAGAATGAATAATAAATATTTATCATACATTGCCATGATCATTCAAAACAATCAATTTGATGCCCCAGCCGAACTCAGGCAGCAAATGTATCTTTATTGAATGTAATACCTGGAACTCAAATGCGGACAAAGACAAAAGAATACAAAAATTCAAAAAAATTTTCCTATTAATTTGCCAATTTATAAATGAGAGGGAAGCTGGAGAAAAAACTGCACCTTGAAATGCCATAGTTCTGGGATTGCTACTAAGAAAGTCCATAATCAATGAAGGGCCTGATTACATGTCTTCAGCAGTGCTGGCCAGGTTAATGCCAAGCTGGCTAGCATTGCCGAGATGTGATTTTCTCAAATCACACTCCACTGACTTTCTCCGTGAGGAAAGCACGGCCATCTTTATACTTTTCAAACTCAGTGGTTTCTGAATCCAGGTTACGTGAGTGAGAGAGAAGTTTTTAAAACCTAACATACTGTGTATCTTAATAGGTCAGGCATGTGATCAAGCTCTCTCAGAGAAGAGGCCTATGGCAAGTACTGTTAGCCTTTATAATGGGAATGAAGTTACCACTATTGAGTGTCAGAGCATAGTCATACATTTAGGTCAGAGATGAGAAAGGTATTTAAATGAATACAAGACACCCCTTAGTAAAACTATTGTCTTGTCACCCAGCATTCAAGCTGTACAGCTTGGAGGGCAATTCAGAAGGTCAACTACAATAATTATCTAGTGCCATATTTACCCTTGCTTTAACAGTCTGTTTAAATCCAAGTGATGGAAGACTCCTAGAAGACTGAAGCCAAACAAAGTGCACGTTGGTAAAATTCAGAGTCGATATAAATTGCTTATCGCTGCAGTTTTTGGCAGCTAAATAACTCACACCCAATGATGGCCTATCTGGGAGGGTCAACCCCAAATGGGTACCTTTTTGTGGCTTCAGGTATGATATTGAGGATTTCAGGGGTTGAAGTAGAGAAAATGTTAGAGAGAACTGTCACTTAGATACATGTACATGTCTCCGTTACACTGGTCAAATTTAATTTCAGGTTGATTTTGATTTAACCTAGGTTGTTTCTCAATTTCCTTTGTCTCCTAGCTCTAATTATTCATGAATTACATGTAGGGCTAGAAGACGAAGGAAATTGAGAATCAATGAAAAAATTAACCTAATCAAATTTGAACTTTAACATATCTAAAAAACCTTAAACTCTCTTCTGGTAATGCCTATAGGTGCAGTGTTCTCCCATAATATTGTTCATTAGCTTCATTCCAAGGGCTCAGAAAAGGGATGCCGTGTTCTTACAGTGCGGCGGACACTCAAAAGATTCTCAAGCTTTTTGCAAATGGACCAATAAAATTCAAGGTTCAACTATGCAACCATTGAAAACTTTAAAATTGATTGAATTTACCTGAACAGTCTCAGGTAGGAATGTGATTGGTCCATTTGCTAAAAAACTTGAGAATCTTTTGTTTTTGGGATTAACCTTGTGATTGGACAATATCGTTTCCCATGTCCTGGTTTGAGTGTCCACCCAGTGAATAGGCATGTGAAAGAGCCATCATTTTTTAATGAAAGGTATACAAACTGGGTACCTTTTCTGTTCAAAATGGCATATTCAAGGGTAACATTCGACTTTATTGGTAACGACAGGAGAGTTTAAACAGACCTTTCTCTGCTTAGTTGTCCTTCTTAGGAGACCTCTCGCAGCCTCTTCATATTCTTTAGCAAGCTGATGATGCTGAGATGATAGTCGTCTGAATAAAGAGCATAAGGGAGTCAGGTACAGTGATGGCAAAAAAGGGTATTAATAATTTGGATAAAATTATGACTGCACGCAGACTACCCTATCAGGTGAAATTTTGGTGACACTTTAATTTAGCGATTTTTAGAAAAATTAAGTGTTGGTAAATTTAAATCGTCGCTAAATTAAATTGTGTACAATATGACATTCCGCAATCTGGTCGGTTTCATACACATATACTATTGACGGTCGACAATGTATCATTGAATTTGTGTGACAATGCATACCTAAAATATGAGTGAGGAGTCACGCCTTAAGATATGACCGATTACAGCTGTAGTTTCATTTGGTTCATTCATCAAAATGTTGTTATGATTTTGATTTAAAATAATGAAGCTATTGATGTTTATGATTAAATTACGTAAATGTTTTACTGTCATCATAAAAGCTTTTGTTCCAAATTTACGAAAAATCGCTAAAGTGCTGCTAATTAAGGGATTTTTCAAAATCAGTAAATAAATGTGTAGCAAAAATTTCATGTGGTAGGGTAAAATTGAATGGTCCACCGCACTGCACGTGTACTGGACAGGAGTGTATAGGTTTGATCCAAAAGAACTTCATATTATTGGAAATTGTAAATACTAGACGTAATGATGTCAGAATCATTTTCTTTCTTTTATTTTTCTTTACACAACCTTGCAGCATAAGAAGCATAGCAAAATGATTGATATCAAACTAACATGAGGAAGTTAAAGATAATATAATTAAATAATCATAATAATTTAAATGAGATTATCAATACTCATTGTTAACTGTGAAATTTCCTGCTGTCAGCAGCTGATTGCATTGCACATTCAAGCCATTGCCATGTAGTTTTGCCCTCATGGCTTGCTTCGAGTTGCCTTTGCAGCTTTTTTGCCTTTTGTTCGTCTCCCCCACCCCCAACCTGCCTCTTGGTTCTTCGAAACTCCTAGGGTCAGATTTAGGGTGAGTTCTTTTGTTTTCTTCATTCTCCACTGAGAGATCAGTGTGACAGGTGCCAGGGGAAGGTGACCCGTGGGAGGTTGCCATGGTAACCCCCCTTTATTTGCATTTTGCCCACATTCATTTGCTTATTGCTCGCATTGCTCACAATTAGCACCTACCCTCCATTTTCATTAATTGCTTATCGACAAGTTAACAGGTAAATGGTACATGTACATGTATTTTGTTCTAAAGATAATTACTTACGCATAGTTGGATTTTTGACGTGCTAGCTCCTTTGCCTACGAAAAAAAAAAAAAAAAAAAAAAAAAAAATTTCTTCCATGAAGATAATGATGATGAATGCTCATGCACTATTTCTTTAGTATCATAATTTACATTTTTTTTTTGGTTTGAAGTTGACTGTGCAGAATAAATGAAGGCTGAACCCCTTTCTCCCAGCCCCCACCCCCCTCCAAAAAAAGGAAGAACAAGAAAAAGGCAAAAGCCATGCCTCCAATATTAATACAGAGATCACATGTTTGTTTGTCATCCATGCAGCTAGCTACTACCACCTCAAAGTCAAAGTTGCAGAGTCAAAAAACCAGGCACTGAATAAGGAGCATTATTATAATCTTAATTACCTTCTCAACACTGCTAATACCATGCTTGGCAGTGTCTTCATCAAGTTGTAACTCTAACTGGGTTAGTTTCTTCTTCTCTGCCTCTAGCAACTTTTGAGTCACCTGTTGTTGGCAGATTTCCCAAAAAGAGAAAAAAAAGTTTCAAGCTTGAAATTTCCACAAAAGTTTAAACCTTAAAGAGATTTGAAAAATGTGGAGGTTTTGTGAATGAAAGTGTTTATAATAACTGGGCGTAGTTTGTTTGTCATAAAAATAACTAGGCAGACCTCTAAGATCATCAGAACATGCAGACAAGGCACCCACACAATGAAAGGACCCTGCATTTTCCCTGACTACTACAGCTTAACTCACACTTAAAGCCACTATCTAGTGAGGCTCTGGCCACAAAAGCAAAACTGAGTCAATATATCTAATTATATTTATTTTTTCTGCTACAATGGTAACCTTAAAACCATCTGACATGCATTCTTAATCTTATGGAAAATGACCGCACAAAATTAAATAATATGAGCACAGTAGGCTGTTTTAGAACATCATTTTTGAAGAACTCAGATTTGAAACTTTAAGGGAAGGAATTTCAGTTGAATAATCAACGTTTTTTTCTCAGTGGATCTAGAGACAATACTATTATGCAAGGCTCTTTAGAAAATTATAACTTTGTTTATGCTGCGAAACTTGCAAAATTGTTATGCATTATGTCATCTTGGATGACTTGCTAAACACGTCCTTATAAGCTTGGGAAGCAAATAACCAATGATAAACAATGGGAAATTCCATAAAATATCCATCCATACCCCAGACTGCTTTTTGGATTTCGGAGGGCAAGGTGGAATTTTTTGAACTGGAAGGGCTGCCTGTGGAATTCTGAAGGCATGTGGCAGTAGGGGGGGGGGGGGTGCACGAACTGATGACACGATGATGACTATGGAAGCAGGATACAAAAATAAAACAAATGGTGCCTTGCAAACCAAGCTCCAGAGGCATTAATGCTACAAAACATCCTTTTTCTCTCTCTTAAAAAAAGCCTCCTACATAATATTGTTCAATCAATGCAAAACATGGTCTTTTCACCAACCATGCCTTTTAATTGGTATTTGCTTACCATGTATGAAGCACCTACTGTGGAATTGGGAGTGACTGCTGACCCCGAAGGCTCAATTTCAAGTTGGCGGAAATGAAAACTCGATCGTCCACTTGATCTAAATATCTTAAGTGTAGTGTACACACGTTCATCACAAGTACTTGTACCAGTTTGGAGCAATGAAAAGTTAATGTAGGTTGCATGACGTGTTGAACAAGCCCCTAAGGACAAAACTTTCATTCTTTTTACAATTTTATTGCCCAGAGTCATAGTGACTCCTTCTGTAACCATGCAGCTGTACTGAATACAGAAGAAGAGTCATTCGAAATATTTTGGCATAAAATAAGCCAAATTGGGCATATTGTGAACCCTGCAGATAATTTCGAAGGGCTTCATGAAAATATAGAAAATTCGAACAAGAGGGGGAGGGGGGTGACGATTATGGAATTCTGAAGGCATGAGGGTGGTTAAAATATGGAAGCCATCAGTGGTATGGAATGGATATTTACTGGAATTGCCCAATTTTGAATGAGGTTTTTGTGATATCCAGAATAATCAAGTCACAGTATAAAGAGGTATGTATCAGCCGAGCCGAAGGTCAAGGCTGATACCACTTACCGAGTCCTTGATTATTCTGGATATAAAAAAAAACTGAATCTTATAGTTGTTTCATTACACATTGTTTTGAAGAAAATACATGTAGTTTGACAAACACACCATTACATAGAAAGAGTTTGACATTGCTCTTGGAAATTGTGCATTGCGTGTCGGCAACCTGCAGATTAGTCACGAATCTGCTAGCAGATAACTGACTAATCTGTAGGTTGCACTAATTTCCAATATTAACTGAAGGGTCCTAGCAAAGTAATGAGAAGACGGATAGTGAGTACAATGTATAATAATAGGAACAATGTTTCTGCATGTTCTTGTCATATTGCTTCCTTATGGACATATATCCAGTACCTCCAACTGAACACCAAACAGACCCTGTCCAAGATTCTCCACAGAGGTACTTGAATCACAAGCTGTGGCCATTCCAGTTCGGACGGTTTCATGTCATCTCAACTGCCTGCTGAAAGAGAGATACATGTACATAATGTTATGATCTACTCATATAAAGCAGGAAGTTTTGGCACTGATTAACTGGGTCCCTTATAACACTTGTTCACAAGAAGTGATCACTTTGTAAGCCACAAACAAGCTCTAAAGTAGACACTGTACATGACTGTAAGCCGAATGTGATCAGGCGAGAAGGGGTAAATGGCAGTTCTCAGTTTTGTGCATTATACCTTAATTCTCACTTAATTTTGCAAGTATTAAATTTCACGATTTTTGCCATAAAAAATTCGCGAAATTTAATACTTGCAAAACCGAATACTCACGAAGATTAAAATAGTGAAAATTAATACCAGACATACATGTATACATATTCATAATGATTAACATGGACAGAAAAAGGACCTCTATATGATGTCTGAAAGAACGTTATAGCCACAAAGTTTATCAGAGAGTAAATATTTACCATGTAACTATTTGTGGGTACCTATTTAGACCTTTGAAAATCTTCTACTTTGGTTTAATTACAGTGTAACTTGTTTTGTTTGTAATTGTCTTTGTTTGCTGTTGTTTACAATAAAATTGTTAATTCTGTTTTTACTTTTTTGACATCAAAGTTACATTTATTCGCAAAACATGGCTCATAATTTTTCGTGAAATTTAATACTTGCAAAATTAAGTGAAAATGAGATACAGCATGCACCTTTGAGTTTCTCTTAACTTATCTGAAATGCCAGGTGATAAGGGAAGGAGACAGCTAACATTTAACCTTGAAGCTAGAAACCTACACAAACAAGCTTAGGCTGGTCACAGTCGCCTGTCAAAAGTCCACAGTCCGCAGTCCTTACTCCACAGTCCACAGTACTCCCTTTACATTGAGCACTTAAATAATTCATAAAAGTGCACTAAGCATCATGAAAGTTTAATATCTCACAAGAAATGTGGTTTTAAGACCCACTATTCAATGTTTACATTACAAATTCACTTTCAATTTGAACAGCGCAACAATATAGCTTTGAATCTTATAATGTGATAAATGTATAAACTGATGTATCTCTGCATTTTCTGTTTTGGGAACACATTAACGCGAATTGAAACACAAAATTTTACAGTACACATGAGCATTGTTTGACAAACAGAAATAAAGGATTACAAGCGCCAACGAACAAAAACAATAGATTCAGCTACTTTAGATGACCATATCACCCAGCGTTTTCAAAAAAACTTTGCTCATCAAAGCAAACTTGCCAACAATTTAATCTGATTTCGAGTGAAATAATATAAGCTTAAGTTTATACGTGTCGCACGTTATCGATTACTGCAGTTGAAGATTAAATTCCTGGAGGGTTTTAAATGTTTATGGAGTTGGTAAATTAGTTTATTGCGAGCCGAATGGTGTCGAAGACCTTCGAACTTGACTGGGAGCCAGCTTAGATAGCAGGGAATCTTACACAAACAAAAGGTGTAAGCCTTTCAAAGATAAATAAGAAGTAGCAAGGCTTGAAGTTTATGTGAACAGAGAAAAGACAAAACACGGCACCTCGATTTTGGAACACCGGTCATTGCAACACAATGTTGAAGCGCGGATTTGTTTAGGCTTAATTGTAAGCCTTGAAAACCGGCGCGCTTGAGATGACACCTTGCTAATAATTATTTTGCTGGTATATTCCATCCAGGCGAGCAGAATACATCAGCTGTATTTTCTAATATTTTAAAATAATAAAGGCTGCATTCTTTTAAGAATTATTTCCTCACCTTTGTCGGAAGAATACTTCCTCTGCGTAAGCTATTAATTCCAGCGAAAACACAGGAAGAACAACAGATCTTGGCAACGCGTCAAAGGGAACCTTTCGACAAGAGGACTGGGTTCTACTGACCGTGGAGAAAAATGTGTCCGCAATGCGTACATATTTGGGGAGTTTTTAAAATCTACAACAGTGATAGAAACACGAACATAAAAAATGTTCATTTTTTTGCCATATCTGCATAAACTTTTCTGATGCGATGTTTTCAAGGATAGATAAAGGACGTAAACACACCACTTAAAAATAATACACAAACAGCGGCAATAAACATTGTGAGCTTATGAGTGGCATCCGAGCATGCTCTCAACTGCGCTCTGGCAGCGGGCCGCCAGAGCGCTACGGAGAACTTACTCGCAGTCCAAATTATTAGCGGAGAAAAAGTTTCACCCATCCTGTCATAGTGACATTTAAAGTAAACGAAGTTTTAAATCCCAGGATGGAAATCTTATCAGCATACACAAAACGTCAAACTCCATCACTTGATAAAGTTTCAGTGATAGAATCGAAAGCTTGCATACGCTAATAAGTTTTCTATCCTTGGATTTGAGACTTAAATACTGTGAGCTTACGCAACTTTACTGAAGTTAACACTGGAAGAGAGGATGCAATGGGGAGGTACGGTTGCGGAGCCATCAACAACAACGGAGAACGACTTGTTGAAATTCTTTTTCACAACGGATGCGTAATAGGTGGCACCATCCTCCCCCACACAGACATTTACAAACTGAGTTGGTGATCCGGTACTGATGGACACACTGTCAATCATATTGGCAACGTCGTCAAAGTCCATCGTGGGACACATGTTGGCAGCGACCGCACCACCTGGCCAAGGTCAGGTTGAAACTTCCAGCAAAACCTGCTATCAAGCAGCAGCACAAAGTGTTTGGCATCAACAAGCTTTGTGCTTCTGTGGTTGAAAGGGAGTTCAATGTTGAGCTTAGAAATCGTTCCATAGCACTTGACATTTAAGATGCAGAAGATCTGGACACTGTTGAAACAACCTGGAGTAACATAATAAGAATGTAGAAAGAAACTGCAGAGTGTCTCAGGCTTTAGAAAGATGAAATTCAGGTAATGGTTAACACCTAAGACTTAGGGGAAAATCGATGAGATGAGATGAGAAAGGCCAAAGATACGCTGCTAAGTGCAACGTCTCCTAGACTGGCTCAGCGTACAAAGGAGGTATATAAGATCAAAGATAAAGAGGTTAAGAGGATTTCCCGAAGGGATAAGAGAGCCTATGTGGAGAATGACACCTACACCATAAGGAAGGGAAAGTAATAACAACTTCAAGGGATAGTGCTGCAAGATGGTTCCAGCATTGTAAAAAAGTGCTCAACCAGCCAGAGCCTAATGAGCTTGCGGACCCAGACCGTCCTGATAATCTCAAAATTAGGGTAAGATTTCCGTATATAACCTGAAACATTTATTATGCAGTCATGTTTCCACTCTATTCAATCATTTTTTTGTGCGTAATAGTATGAAAATGCTGCATGCATAATAAATGTACCAGGCGTTATACAGAAGTGACCTGTTAAATGCTATTACCTACAGGTTCTAGCATAAAGACGACAGTAACTATTACTTCAAATTGTCATTTAGAATCAAGAGAGCTCTAGTTTATTTCGCTTGATAAATTGAAACTAATACGCCCCAATTTATATATAATCTTGCCAGCGCACATGGTTACAGATATTATATAATTATTATCTGAGATGTCTTGAAAGATGAATTGAAAAAGTGCCACTTATTAGCCATCGTTGTTATAGGTAGATACAGTTATTGATATTTGCTTTGTAAGCTAAAGACAGAATCATTTGCCGCAATTTGAGCGTGATTACGACGGCAAGTGAAAATTTTAAGTAATTTAGCAACAGCTCGTCTAATCTCGGCGATTCTCCAACAGTAAATTACAGGGTTTACGGAACTGCATATAAAAATACAGGATGAAACATAGATGTAAGCTGTCTTCACCGAATAGGTGTAACCTTCGAATCTATGAGCTATTGCTACACCGATAAATGGGGCATTTGATATCACGAATAAAATGAGAATATATGCCATGGTGACCGTTGACTTTTTGAATCTAAGGATATTTCTGGATGATTTGACGCTTTCTTGATCTTCAATTGAGCGATGATGTCGTTTGATGTGCTTGTAAATCCCAGTATATGCCACAACAGTGATAATTAAGCTCGAAAACAAAATGGGCACTGTTACAGCATTGTATTCTCTTCCATCTTTAAATAAGAATCTCAAGCTCGCCATGAGCCCAATAGTTATCCAGAGGGTTCCAACGATAAGCAATACTCGGAAATTTGTTACAAGTTCCTTATATCGAAGATGTAAGTACATGGCAAGGTAGCGTTCAATACTTATTGCAGTAAGCGTGAGAATCGACACCCCGGACGTGATAAAACCAGATGTTTCTGAGATTATTCGAGTAGCACAGTAGATGTCCAAGTTCTGTTGAATTTCCCCAATTTTGTGAGCCACGAAACACGGTTGAGCTATTAATCCGACGGTGAAATCGGACAAAGCGAGACAGCAGAGTAAAGTGTTCGCTGGGCAATGAAGAGAAGGCGTTGTTTTGTAGGCGATAATTATAGTTAGGTTTCCCAGAATTGCGGTGAGCGAGAAAACGGAGTTTAGGACGGCTGTTGCAACATTTGTTGAGTATAAATCGTCGGCTTCAAAGTTTATGTCCAAGTTAAAACAGCTACTTCTAGAGTTCACTCTGGACAAATTTAACATAGTTTTACGATCAGGAACTCTTTTTAAACCTTAACATATTACGATAGGTAAATCTTCCCGAAAAAAGTTTCGTGTTTCCACGCTTCTAATTTCTTCAATACATACAGCTGCATTAAAATTCTTCATTGCTACGTCATTTGCTTGTAATCGAATGGTAAACTAGTAGCAAAGGAAATGAAAAATTCAGATTTATTTACTTTCAAATTTTATATTTCTTCAAGAACTATCGTTAAGATGCTTGCAAATTATTTTTAGAGTTTAATTGCATCTCCAATATAAAGAAATTGGGAAATTTATTCCCTTGCAGATGTGTTGTGTATTTTTAATCAGATCCCTCCTTAAAGTAAATTTACCATTGGAAATAGGCAGCTTTTTTTGACAGAACTGTCGGCCTCAGTGGCCGGGTTATCGTGTAACACGATGAAATAGGAGAAAATGATTAGAGAAGCATTCACATCTTTCTGTTTTTAGATAGCTATTTAGAAACTTAAAGACTGTTAGGCGATCCCGGCATTTTCGGTTAAAAAAAAGGGATGCAAAAATTAAAACGATATTTCGAACCCTCAACTTCGGAATAATTGTTCTTGTCACTTCCTCAATATTTAACGTAAATTTTTATCTCAAATAACTAAGTAATTTCATGAGTTATGGAAAAATCTCCTTATTACACCCCAGTAACGTTTAATTACGTACTGGCAACCACTGACAACTGCGCATGTCCTACTCATAATGAAAGCTCAGGCTCCACCAGTGTTGTTTCCAGTCTCCGCTTCACCCTTGTCAAGAAGAATGGAATGAGGTATCGTATCACATGTCACATAACGGCGACATGAAATAGGCCATTTCAGCTCCGCCCGAAGCCTCTGATTTAAAGCGACGCTAAGTGCGAATACACTGATATGAACATGATTTTAACTTTATTATCAAAAGAACGGTTTTTCACTTGGCCTCGTTTTGTAACTGAGGTTTTTGGAATGGCCTATTTCAACTGCAAGTCTAGTACATCAGACATAAAAACTGTGGACGCCTGGGTGACTTGTCCTCTTTCCATTTATGGAAGGTTTTGACTGTTTCGTTCTCGCCAATCTTAGAAGCATACTCCTGGTAAATTCTTTACACATGAGGATGTAGAGATATATCATAGTGGATAGTGACCTGGTGCGCTTCGACTAGATGGCTTGCAGTAAGCATTGATTCAGCCACACCTTGTGTCACCACTCCAGCACTGCAAACTTCTTCCAGTCATCCAGAGCCAGATAGATAGATAGATAGATAGATAGATGAAAATAGATAGATAGATAGATAGATAGATAGATAGATAGATGGATAGATAGATAGATAACTTTCTATCTATCTATCTGCTTTTTTGCCAGTGAGCCACTTGGTGAGCATATTCCAGGACGCCATCTTCACGTGAAGCCCGCCAAGTATAAAAAGCTATCTTCTTCATACGCACCAATAAGCCTGCACTCAATTTCCTTTGCCAAGGTAAACAGCGGCTGGTCCACAGCGATAACTGGAGTTTGAGAGGGAGTAACATGCATGGCAGTAGCTCTGTTGTTTACTCTTATGAAATGCGCAAGGGGGGGAGGGGGCCCTCCCCCCCCCAAAATTTTATCGGCCCTTCGGGCCTCAGTTTGGTCCAAAAATAAGGGGGGGCCCCTCCCCTGAATGCGCCACTGGAAAACGTTTTCCTCAGCTGTTTCTTGGTATTCTCAAGCCAGTCTCTCTTTTGAGTAAAAGATATCAACTGTCCGGCATAGAACTCACCTATGACTAGTATCAGAGGTGGCACCTTGCGGTATATTAAAGGCAGTTGTGCAATTTTTTTTTACCTACTTCTTTCCATGATCATAGGTATCAATTTTCCTGTCGTTTTAAGGATTCACGTTAGCTTGAGAAATTGCCGTTTATAGCGGAGAGAGTCCTTCAAAGTGGTGAAGCTTGGATGATAGTCTACGTCAGATTTCATGTAAGAAGACGCCTCAGAAAACCCAAAGATTCTTCACAAGGCAACAAAACCCAACGTTAACGCTACCGACTGAAAAAAGCTGCTTTTTGCTCTCGACAACATGTCAAGGGGATTTTGCCTTTAAGCCAATGAATTTGCCCGAAATCGATCACGTGATATTTCGCCAGTACAGGCATGCGCTTTAAAGAGCAGAGGGCGATTCGACGATAAAGGAAAAACCTAGGCCATTTTATAAACCGTCTCTTCCTGCAAGGAAGGAAGGTAATGAAGCATTCCAAGAAAATTGAACTAATATATAGATTTAGCCAGGGCTAAAAGCGAGGCTTCCA